TTCTTTAGCCGAGATAAGGATCTAGGCTTTAGAAGATTGGCAGGTTTTGACCAACATTTTGCCCTCTTTTGCCAAGATAAGTATCTCGGCCAATACAAGTTGGCCGGGCTGTCCAACGCACTTTTTGGATTCATTCTCCGAGATAAGTATCTCGGCCAATGAAGGTTGTCAGGTGAAGGTATGGCCGACGTGGTTAGTTCGGCTAGGCATGCAGACAATATGTTACACAATATTGTAGAACAAACACAGTAACCGAGCAAAAAGATCGACATTTTTCATTAAAAAGAAGATGCTTACAAAGACTTAGAAAATATGAGGAAGAAGAACTCCGAAAATATGAGGAAGAAGGAATATATTTCTGTTATATTCAAAACTTCTTATTTTACAAGACCAAATGACACTCCTTATATAGGAGATATTACAAACATCATTATAACCCATTATATGCCACTTACATATTATATATTACCACTATCTACCACTATCATATTATATACATGCCACTATCTACCACCAACACCACTATCATATTCTATACATGCCACTATCTACTACCAACACCACTATCATATTCTATACATGCCACTATCTACCACCAACACCACTATCATATGCCACTATCTTATTATATGCATTAACACAAATTTCCAGCACAAAGGATGGGGCTTATAGCCCAGTTACATAGCTAAAAAACAAAAGTGAAAGAGGAATAGTCGTAGCACGGTTAACCAAGTAAATCTTCCAGCTCGGCGTTAGCCCCATCACTAACTTCACCGTCCGCCAAGACAGTTACAGTGCCATCCTCCAGAGTTAGGTCGGTGATGCCTTCTTCAACCACCAGGCTTGGTTCAGTCCGGTCAGGCCCCTTCGACCGCATAGGAAGATCATCTGGAGCATTGTTGGGGGTTGGGTTGTCCTCCACAACTAAGAATTTCTGTTGAACGGCATTTGCGTAGTCTGTCATATAGCTCAGTATGTAGTGGAGAGGGGGATTGAGGAACACAGCAGAATCTTGCACCTGATCAAGCTCAACCACCACCGCCTTCCAGCCGCATTTGAAAAAGATGTCCTTGGCCGCCTCACACTACTGGATGTAGGTGTCTTCACCTTCTTTAAAACCCCGGTCCTCAACGTCCTCCATCTTTTTTTTCAGCTCCTGGATCTCGGCGTTCTTTTTCTTCTCAATCTTGGCAAGTTGGCGCAAGTAGCGGTCTTTTTTCTCGACCAAGGCTTTCTTCTTGTCAGCTTCTGCCGCGCTAACCAGCTCGGCTAGCCTTTCTTTTTCAGCAGCTAGCTCGGCCAGTTGTGCCTTTACCTCCTTCAACTCGGCTACCTTAGCGTATGCATCAACTATTGCCGCTCCCGCTGTCTTTCGCAATTCAATCACGCATTTGTGGGCCACATGGTTTTTTTGCACGGCCTGCAATCCGAATTAAAGTTGTTAGAATCACCAAGCAGACAGTTTGCACAAGAGTATGAAAATATGAAAGTGGGCGACTTACAAGAACCATCGACTTGGTAGCGGACCAAATTGCTTTTAGTTCGATCAGGTAGTTGTGTTTTTCCATATCGGCTGGAAGGCATAGGCTTTTTGATAAGCTGAAGGCTAGTTGGTGGTCCTTTTCAGCAGCCATTGAATCAGTTATGGTCACAGCGCGACCTTTAAAGGTCACGGCTGGAGCCCAAACCGATAGAGAAAAGAAACCAGTGCAGCCGAAGTGCCGGCCCCCTTCAGCAAGCTGGGTTGTTGGCAGCTCAGATTCAGGCAGTTTGGCATCCTCCTCATCTCCCAGTCGTTGTGGTTGGAATGCCCAAGTGCGTGGCCTTTTGCCAGGCCGAGATGAGGTAGCCCTGGTGGATAGAAGGGCGACGACGGTTTCACGTGACTGACTTGGGGGGGGGGAAGCTCGGTCTAAATTTCGGCGTTTGAAGCAAAAGCTTGCTCAGTGATAAGGGCACAAACAGCTCGCATTTTCACCATCTCTTGCTCTTTTGTGAGGGGAATAAGGTTGATTTGGGGTAGGTTGGGATCAGGTTCGGGTGAAGACTCAAGCAAGAAGTCTGTAACTCTACTTTTTCTCTTGCCGTTGTATCGATAGGTCGGTACTACTCCTAATAGCTCGGTCCAATCGCGGTAATGGTACCGTAATACGGCTCGTAGTGCGACTTGGTTGGAGTGGGCGTAGTCTACTTTCAACCGATTCAAATTTGCAAATAGAACAAAGTGTTAGCACGGCTATGTAATGGTACCAATTTTTTGAAAAATTTAGCTACACTCACTAAGGATCCCTTTATTCCAGTTGATATTGTAACCCCGTATTTGGGCCTCCTGGTCTTCAAAATTGCCAGATCCAGAGAAAATTGTCATCGTTCAGATCGTTATCTAGTGTGCGCTTGACGATTTTCTCTTGACCCTTTCTGATACGGAGGTAATAAACTCAACCGTCGTCATTTTGGCCTAGCGAGTATTTGTGAATTAGCTCGGCTAATCCAAGGTTGAGATCGAGACGGCGGTTTAGCTCAACGATTCCATTTATTATTCTGTATGTGTTCGTGGATAATTGAGTGGGGCACAATCTGGTTTGCCTAAGAAACTCGCAGATAAGGGGCTAGACAGGGAATCGAAGCCCAACCACTATAAGGGATATAAGGGTAAAAGGGACGAAACCGGGATCGCCACATGGCGTGGTGTCCAGCTCGGCTAGGGTAATTTTACGTCGTCAGGGATGTGATAATCCCTTCGGAATTCGGCTATGGCACTGGGCGAACTCACCAGGAACTGGTATTTTCCCATAGGTGTGGCCTTAGTTGTTTACAAGTATCCGCTCAGCTCCTTAGCCCGGCATTGTAGTGACTGGTGTGCCTGAATAAACCTAGTCAAGTCTGCACAGTGAAGAACATAGAATGTGTTATTGGTAACCAGGCTAAGGCATCAGTGTACAGTACTTCGCTCGACCTTGAAAGTATGTGCGACGTGTAGCTCGGCTGAAAACTGAGGCAAGGTTGTAGCCTGGTCCTGGGGAAGGACAAAATTTTAGCTCGGTCCATGTAAAAGGCCAGGTGGGAGCCCGGTAATGTTTAGATAATGGTTCCTAGTTTGGCAAGATACATCTAAATGAGCACAAACAGGTTTGTAGCTCGGTTTCAGTACGATTCTGGATCAAAGCCAAAGTTCTTGTTCGATTTTAGTTCCAGTTAGGGGGGAGTTCGTCCTAAGGTATGGAGTGCGGGAAGCTAATTCAGTTCTAGGCTCATTGTAGCACATAATAATACTAAAAATACTATTGCAGTATCACTATGATGGGTTTGTAATGCTAAAAACACCAAGAACATGTAAAGCATCATATGGAGTGTTCGAAAGAACATAAAAACTTAAGAGTTTTTAGTGGAGAGTGCAACGCTGATCAACAAATGGCGTTCCAGTAATAGTGTTGAGCTTGATTTGATGATGAAAACTACAGTACCAGGGCCTGAATGCAAACAAATGCAAGATTGGAGTTCTGATTGCAAGGATTTTTTGGGTTAGAAGATGAACAGTACCGGCGACTGTTCAAGGCTGAGGGGTTGTATATGTGATGGAGCCAAAACAGCGGGTCTTTTCAAATTTCTGCGCAGTGTGAAACGACTGGCATAGTACGAGGGGGCAATCGATGCATGCCACGTGTCCTAGTAAGGACATGATGTCAGATACATGGGACGACCGGCGCAATTTCAAGAAGCCGAGCAAATCTTAGCTCAGTTGGCATGATTATTTCAGCTCTGTTGGTTTGAGATCGGTTGAACTTAGGTAGCTCGGCTGGAAGTCAATAATCTCAATCATGCTTTGCAGATGGAATTAAGGGACAATTAAGAGAGTAATTTATGTGAATAAATTGGGCCGAGCTAAGACCATCTATCTTAAACATTGGGCTGAGCTATGAGTCGAGGTGAAAGCTTAGATAGCCCCATCCTGGGTCATCTGGACACCAAGTCAGACAGTGACGTCGCCAGGAGTCTGACCTGGCTATCTAAAGCTAGGTTCTGTAGCAAGTCGAGGTGTTAGCAAAGAAGAAGGCCAAGCTAAGTATAGCTCGGCGCGGCGCTATCCTGCAGTTGGGGCTACCACAGTGTTATCTAGAGCAACATTGAGATGTGTTAGCTCAGTTGACCGTACCGCCGGCCTAAATAAAAGAGTTGAAACCATCTCACTTGGTTGGCAGTGAGTAGGGTGTTATCATGATAGGCATTATCCTTGGGATGTGATTCCTAAGAGGACTCTGCTAAGGAGAATTAGAATCCTACTAAGATTGTGCCAGGCGGAATCTATAAAAGCTCGTGACAGGACCTATGCACAGGTATTGCAATTCTGACTCTCAATTACACAGAACTTTTGTGTCTATTGTCTATTCGTTGACTTAGGCATCGGAGAGGTTTCCGGCATACACCCACTGGCTAGCTCACATTTGTGTTTTCAGGTAGCAAAGCGACGATGTTTGAAAGAGTGCAAACTTGATCAACAAGATTATACGAGAAGATTATTTTGCACTCGCACAGCTCAAATGTGCAATTATTTTTCATCAAATTTGGATTCCATTATTTTTTACTTGATATATATATATATTGTTGGGCTCATTTCCTAACAGCTCAAGCTTTTGGAACAATTGATGATCTAACATGGTATCAAGTTCAGGATTCCAGGAGACCTTGGGTTCAAGTATTGTCAACCTCGTTATCTCTTTCACTGTGCACTCTATTCTGCTTGTCTTTGTGCATCTTGATCACTCAGTACCACCACACAGAAGGTAATTGACCACCTCAAATTCAAAAGTTTTTATACAATATAATCATAAACACTTGCATGAATACAGCAGAAAGATGCATGAAAATACACATAGGGACAGAAAAAACGCGAAAGCACACATGTGAAAACATACAGGCAACATGTGCAGTTGCATGCTCATGCACATATACTGAGGTGGGGCTGTGAGAGAGAGAGAGAGAGAGAAGAGAGAGAAACTTGCTTTATCAACCCATCCAAGTCTTCAGGAGAGAGGATGCATTCTCTACATAAGCCATCAGTTATGAGGTCTTCGGGAGTCTCAGTTCCCCGTACAGCAATTACAACAGATTTCAGATGATGTACAACCACGATAAAATACGTAGCTTCACACTTCGCCTAAAGTAAAAAGACAAGATAAAAAATGAATTAGAGGATAATACAACACCAAATAACACAAACATAAAATGGAAGAGGACAAACAACAAGAGGTCATGCAAGTTAGCGACTTTCTAGTGCTCCAGAAGTTTCAGCTTGGAACAGTTTATTGAAATTTAGAGATGAAGAGCCACAACCTCAACTCAACAAAAATGAAAGTTATAGTGATTGGGATTGCCTGATCAAAACTTTTTAACACATTAAGCTTCCAACCGACCATCTTTTTGTGGCTGCTTCCAGTCGTAATCTGGCCTCCTGCTTCCTCTAGCACTTTAACGTGACTCAAGTCATTTTACCAGGCAATGAAGCTACTGAGAATTTTAATGACATTTCTCAAGATCATATATAAATTTACCAACACCAATGAAAAGAAGAGCCCAAGAAGTCCCCTAGGGGGGGCACACCAGCAGCTTAGGCCGCATTCTCAATAAAGAGACTCCTTAACTTACCAATCAATTAATTAATTAATTAATTAATTAAGGAAACAGAAAGAAGAGCCTGAGAAGATTGTATCTAAATTAATCATTTTTTTTTTTTGAACTACTAAATTAATCATTTATCAAAGGTTTTTCGCATGTACAGTCTTCGGTCTGGAAACTCTGATCCCCACAAAGTTGAACTTCCAGACTAAGTTGGAGAATATCATAATTTGAAATGGAATTTGGTGTAGCAAAACTCTTGGCCTCATTTTTCAAACAGTATTAGCATGGAAATAAGCTATGTTGATTTTTCTTTCTATTACTTTTCATCATATGTTGATTTTTCTTTCTATTAACATAAGATGAAAAGAGAGGAGAGCAGGGGAAAGGGAAAAAGAAAGAAGATAGGGGAGGGGCATGAAACCCGTCTTCCAAGCCTCAAATTCACAAGAGAAGAAGAGGGTTATTGTAACACCCTATGTATTCCTATTGCATGACATGTACATATCTCAAATGCTTGAAATGCCTAGAGTATATTTGCTTTGTTATATGAAATTCTAGAAGCATGCCATGCTTCTTTAATATGAAATGGGAGAGGCTTTAGAGATATAATTTGAGAGAGTTTCTTTGTACATAATATAATTGTACATGTACAATCAGATTAAGACTAATGAGCACGTTTGACAAAATAATTTTAATTGATTTATATTCAGGTGATATGAAGAAAAATTAGATACTCCATCAATTTAGAGCATCTCATTCTAGGATTAGATAAGCCTTAAACCCATACAAATTTGCAAATGCAGCACACATGTGACTCCTAAATATTCTAAACCGATGCATGTAATAATAACTGAAACAACAAAGAATTAGGTATGTACCAGATTATAACTGGACTTTAGGCCTACATGTACTTCTAGATAAGAAAAATACAAATTAATTTATCCTCTATGAGATAAGTAATAACACGAGCCCATGACTCTAAATTAACCTGGTTAACACGCCCTTGACGAAGTGCATCTGGAGATAAATTAACATATTTCAAAAAGGCTGCTGCATGACCTCTCCACCAGTTATCACCTTTGAGCACAGGGTACCTAGAAAAATGGCAATTGTAAATACCACATCTAGCAGAACAGGTATATGGGAAATTTTCCAGGAGATAAACCAAGATCTCAAATCCATTTACACATGCACTCACCTGCACACAAAAATTTTTCTTGTCATTTACATGTGAACAAATAAAGGGGAAAGAAAAAAGTGATTGTCTATGCAGTTTGTGAAACAGATTTGATAATAATTGTTGAATATATAATATATTTTGGTTACCCATCTAACCACGCAAGAAGTTTGAGAGGTGGACAACCTGTTACGAGTCCAGGGAGCCCAAATCCCTTGCCTATAGAGCCACGAACAAGGAAATAGTACAGGATTTCTTCCAATATCAAGTAACAGACCCTGCACCATATGCCACTGCAATGTTAGAATTGTCATGATCGACTATAAAAAGAAATATTGAAGAATGTTCCCTGACAAGACCGTATAGGCAGCTTCAGCAAACGGATGAAAAACAGCAGCCTCTTGAATTCGCTCTTCAGGTGCCTCCAAACACCCTTCATATAGTTTAGGGGATTCACTATGCGTCTGTAATAAAGCTAATCCTGAACAGAGGATGCCAATTCATGTCATGAAAAATATCTGTAGAAAATTTAATGTATAAAGAGAAATAGAGAATTGTATTATTGATTGATGTATTGTGTTGTTGTGTGTTACAAATGGTGAGTGGCTCATTATATAGGAGAGGGTGAGTGTAGTAGGTGAGGAGTAGGTGGTGGTAGGTGATGGTAAATTGGTGGTAGGTGATGGTAAATTCTAACAATATCATACTCGGATTGTGAAATCAAAGAGCATATATTTAAGGTATGACTTTATTTAATGCAAGGGAAAGAAAAATTCAATTAACAAGTAGATAACTGACTTCATTATTGTTTCATCTACTGGTTCTAAATATACATGAGCATATAGAGAAGACATATTCCCAAAAGGCAAAAATATATATCACTCAAAATTTAGAAGATAGTAGGTATTGTGAACTATTATGATTGACCACTCTTGTCTTGTTCCAAAGAATTCACATATTTTAAATAATTCCAAAAATCTCAAGAACAAATATGCATGTAAATAAAAAGACACTGAGAGCAATATTGTTTCCCAACATCCTCTTTGTCAGTTGATCCAACAGCTTTTCCTTCCCCTCAAGGGAATATATAATAGGAAAAGTGACCCATATACCAATCCAATCCAATACCACCATAAAAATTAAAAGGTATGTGCATCTATAAATTCTTCTTTCTTCCTATTTCACAGGATTTAATTTCTTTTTCCAAAATCCTGATTAGTATGCCATCACTACCTTCACACAACATATTTCACATTAAACAATTATCATCTCCTTCTTATGAGAGACTTCAATCAGATTCCAATTTCCCAATGGCTAACACCCGCCACAACTAATGGCTATTGTTATAATTCCTCAAGTTTTGAATTTATACCCTCAACACGCCGCCTCATATTTGGCCAAACTGTCCTCCATAAACAAGCCAAACATTTGCAAGTATTATAATTATTGGATAGGTGATGAGGTTCGAACATCAGATCCATTGCTTAACCTAATATCATGTTAGATTTTTGGAGGCATCCAACCTAAAACCCATTGGGCTCAGGTGGTGGGGCCTTTAAACTATATTAACCAAGCTCGGATAGCTTAGAGAAGCGACGTGGAACAAGTCTCTAATATTCCTCTGCATGTATAGCCCAGTTGCAAATGGAGGAGATAGAGATAGAGATAGAGAGACTAGAAACAAACCCGAGGCAGACACTTAGCCCAGGAGACTACCCGACTAGCTCTGACATCATGTTGAAGTGTTAACCACTAATTCATCTAAAAGTTTAAGCTTTTAGAAAATAGGTCTAACAATGTATATCAAGCTAACATTCCAAAGTTTGTTTCCCCTTTCTCCTTTCTTTTTTGACTCTTCGCGCCTAAGTTGATGTTGATTGAGCTAGTTATGTTTCTTATCGCAAGTCCACTAATAGCTTCTAAGTTTTTCTTAGTAATTCTCTTATCTCTTGGACAATAAAAGGATCTATTATTTTTTGTTCTACTATTAAGGCTGAGTATCATGTTATCACTCATGCCATTGCTAAGATTGTATGGCTCCATTGGTTTCTCTCAGATTTACATGTTTCACTAACATCTCCTACTCTCAACTCTGATAATAAGAGTGAAATCCAGATAGCGCACAATTTTGTCTTCCCTAAGCGCACGAAGCACATAGAGATGAGTATCATTTTATTCGTCACGTAGCCAATGGCTACTTTTTATCCCTATGCTACTCATACTGGATAACAATGCTAAATCATAGAAGGAACCAGCTTCCGGATCCTTAAATTACTTATGTCTAATGCATCTCAGTTTATCTGATGTTTCAATATGAATATCTACAAAATCTCAAGACATGCGCGCTTTTGTTGGACCGATAAAAAAAAAGGTTTGCAATATATTTAAAAATTTACAGTTCCAGCAATGTATGCCTGAAACTAACAAAACATGCAATTATTGGTCAAAAAACTAAAGATCCGAGCTATGTCAATGAATATGTTTAATTATGATCAATGTTATTCCTCCTGTCCAAACTATGTTTCCAAGAATTGAACATTTGTAGGGTTAAGCCATCTAGATGCAGATGCAGACAACCAAGTTCAATATAACTATAACGTTTAACTCTCAGCATCCTCAATGCATTGTTAGAGTGTAATCCAATATCAAATTTTCAAAGTGCACCTCCCAAAGAAATGGTATTTCATAAAAAACAACCAAAGTTGCCTTGATCGAGTGTATAAGAGAAGCATCAACTGCAATGTGAGAGACGCAGTTAAATCTTAAAAAATTACTGGCAAATATCAAGCCACCAAATTAAAGTGACACACAATAACAGCACATGATGGGGGAAAACCTGCCAATAATTCTAAATGCCCAGTGCCAGCCGCACGATAATCTACCAGATCACCCAATAACTGTGCCACCGAGTAAATTTCATCATCCTCCAACACATTCCTAGTTGATTGCAGTAAAAAAATGACAAAAATCAGATAGTCAACATAAATGTAAGCCCCTCAGGTCAACCAAAATGAACAGAAGCCTACAAGTATTTCACGCGTCCCATACAGCACAAAGCCTCTCGAATGCCATGATCAAATATCTCACTGTAATGAGTTTTCCATGCATTATCTTCAGTTGCATAAAAAGACCTCCACCTTAGGATATCAGATCCTGTAAAACATTGTACCATCCCCACATAGAACATCATGATAATGAAAAGGACAAGTATGTCTTGCTGCCACTTGGTACCATTTGAAACATGCCCTGCAACCAAAATTTGTTGACATGAATTGTAAGTTTCTGCAATAGCAAAACAAAAACACACATACAATCACACACTCGTTCATCCAGTCACCCATCCACACACGTGTGCACACACAAAATGAAAATAATCTTGACAATGCAAAGGGGAAAGAAGTTATATATTTATGTTTGCAAGAAACATCAAGGTAAGAAATTCAAGACGCCAGAGCCTGATCAATCTGTCGGGGGGTGCGACTGAGTACGATTCTATGATGTACCCGAAACGGGTTCAATACCTACAACCCAATCAATAATCATGAAGGGTCAGACTTTAAATTTCATATCCAATGTGATTAATATCCCTAGACAAATTGCTACAGGGTCCATGGCATATAGGTAACTGAAAAGTGAGAACAATTTTAAGAACATGTTTAAATAGTTAGAGTTCGTTTAAAGTTTAAAGCCTTTTCAAATTTCCATGTATGTGAACGGGCACTTAGGCCCTGTTTGGTTTGTCTCTTGAGAGACAATTTTTGTTTGGGTGAAAATTTTTGAAAAAAAAAAAAATCCAAAATCACTGTTCTATTTACTACACATCAATCAATCTTTTTTTTTCTCTCCTCTTACATCTTACACGTCAATCAATCACTTTTTCTCTCACACCCATCTATTCAACTACAAAAATAAATAAACAAATAAATCATCCCAAACTCCTACACATACAACCAAACAACTCTTTCTAGAAAATTATTTTTCAAAATTGTTTCACAAATACAAACCAAACATGGCCTTAGTACCTAGTCCAACAAGAAACCATTTGCATACAATGCTTCTAGATATTTAAAATTGCTGCATGCAAGAGATTATCTCCACTTTTTTCTCTTTTTTCTTTCCTGGTTGTGCAAAGAAATCATGTCAAAATTGTTAAGAATAAGAAACAAACAATGAGACCATAAGAAATTAACAGCAAAGAATTAACCTATAGAACCATACAAAACAAGCGAAAATTTCACGAAGGAAACCGAAAGGTCAAACAATCTTTGAGCTAGATAAAAGTATGGAGTTGGTACAAAGGCTCATGTGAACAGTAACACAGCTTTCCATCATTTGCTGCATAATAATGCCATTCCATCATGCTTGTCTACTTTATACAAGTAGTTCTATTATGCATCTGGCACTTTGTGTGACTTGTGTTAGGTCATGTATCCCAGTCACTCAACACGTAGTAGTACATTCACTAGAGATACACTTGTGCAAATGTCAAATGTATCATCTTAGTGTGTTACTCAACACCCTACTGACCTATTATGATGATTCACATCTGTCTGGTGGCTCAAGATTGTCATATAGGCACAAACTCCCTGACAATTGACTCATTTCCTCTATTTCTACATAACATTGATCTTGCACCATTTTGCTTGCCATTGACCAAAGTATCAACCAACCTAGCAACTGTTTACGTACCATTGACTACTATAGTATTGACCTCACATTGTTTTGCATGTTTTCAAACCATATTCACTCTATTTAGTTGTGCATTTCGTTTTTTTTTTTTTTGTTTTCAAACCATATTCACTAATGAGCACTAGGGGTGGGCAACGGTTTGTCCGATCCGTAAAAACCGCCCAACCCGCATTCAAATGGGCGGTTTCGCAAATATAATGCAGGCGGATGCAGTTTGAAATATGGCATGTTTGCAGGTTGTGAGCAGATTGCTGGTTTAACCCACACCTGCAAGAAACCGCCCGCACTTTTATTTATTTATTTATTTATTTTATCTTAACCTTTTATTTCATTCTTATATCCCACCTAGATGTTTTTGCGCAAAACAAAACACCCTTTATTTTTTGAACTTACTCTAGCATTACATTTGTTGATAGTATTATATCAACTGAAACTGAATAAATACTGATTATATTATTATTATAACATAACTTAATTTTAAATTCCTTAATAAATATGAAGTTCTAGTTTAAGATTTTGAAATATGTGCTTGTGTTAGTTTATGATTTGATTTAAGATTTTGAATGATTTGTTTGTGTTATGAGTTGATTTTGTTGTGTTTTTAATTTTATAAGTTTTAATTCATTAATTATTAATGTTGGAGCATTGTAGAAAATGGGAAGAAAATGGCCCAAAATAAATATTTACAAAATGAGAAAAAAATAAGGCTCAAAAATAAATTTTTGAAGAAAAAAGTCCAATCCGCAAACCGCCCGCACATCCGCAAACCCTATCTGCACAAACCGCAAACTGCATTGCGGACGGTTGCGGGTTATCTTTTTACCAAACTGCATAGATGCGAACAAGTCCAAACCAATCCGCAAACTGTCCAAATCCGAACCACAAACACCCCTAATGAGCATGTTTTGTAAATTGTTTCCGAAAACTGTTTTGGAAAATTTTACTGAAAACAACTAACTTCTGTTTCCAAAAACACGAAAACAAAACAATTGTTTTGTATTTTCCAAAAAATAAAAATAAAATAAAATAAAAAACTGAAAGCACAACACACATTGTTTTGCATCTCATTTTAGTATAATATTGCATTGCACCATTTTGCAGGCTACTTTAAGCATATTGTTGTCCTGCATCATCTCATATGTCATTTCCAACTCAATATAACTTGTGCATCTAAAAATCATACATGATATCCCTTGTAGGTTTTTCTTTTCTAGCATATTATTGCTTCAAAATTTCTAGCATGTTACAAAGTTTTCGAAACACCATTTCCAACATAAACTATATTGTAGCTGTACGGGGAGGAAATAATTCTCCTCGTATAATCCTGTTGACCAAGTCCACGCTCCTCCGTACGACGTCGCTTTGTCACCTGAAAACACAAACGTGAGCTAGCCGGCGGGTGTGTGCCGGAAACCTCTCCGATGCCTAAGTCAGAAAACTTGACAAATAGACAAAGCTCTAAGTTCTCAGGAAGGTTGTGTTCAATTACCTCCTCCAAGGTGATGCTTGTGGGCTTTTATAAGTTTTCCGTGGCACAATCCTAGTAGGACTTGTACATCTCCATGCAGAGTCCTCCTAGGATTCATTCTCCTAAGGATAATGCTTATCCTTTTACACCCTCCCCCACTGCTTAAACCAAGTGGGATGGTTTTCTCCATGGTCGAATTACTATTTGACCGAAGTAACATTAGCTATGCCGAGCCTTAAAGTGGGCCGTACTAACAGTAGTTTGGTTCTTCTTTATGCTACACCATATCTCGGTTCTCTCATACATTCTTCTTTATGCTACACCATATCTCGGTTCTCTCATACACGAACCGTGGTATACTTGGACCGATCTACTGAGTAGCTACATTCCGACCGACCTACCCTGAATTCATCATGTCCAGACTACCTCTCTTGGGACCGTACTAACTCAAGTTGTCCAAACCGAAGCAGCTTTACGATTCCTTAGCCGAAGTAACTTCGTCTCTTTTGACCGTAGTAAGTCAACATCTCCTCAGAACCGGAATAAATCTATCGTTCTTGAACCGGAGTAACTTTAACAGCTTGGGCAGGAGTATCTTTTATCTCTCCTGGGCCGGAATAACCTTGCGGCCTTTTCACCAAGCCCTTGGTGCTTTGGGCCACGAAGCCCATCACATAGCTCGGCCCAATTTTTACCAAAAATTACCCTCTCAGTAGCATACGCCATTTCTAGCATATTATTACTTTCTTGCACATCACTTATCATTTTCATGGAATTGCATCCGAAATATTTTCCAACCCCACATACATTGTCTTCTCACACCTTGTTTAGTAAGACAGACAATCATGCTTTCAATAAAACTACATCCAATTGATTTGATCCCTTGAAAGCGCATGTCAATCTCCTAAAAAACCATATTATTCCAAAATTCATTTTTAACAGTATTAAACCAAGTTAGATCCATTGAAAAATTATAAAGATTGACAGAAGCAGGGAGTTTAGCATTGCAAGGGCAACATACTCTAAACATCGAATCCCCCCGAACCCATCTCTGTTTTGAAGGACCAAGATGGAAGTTACTATTAAATTAGATCAAAACTAGTATTTTTCCACTATAGTATCTTTCACATAATTATGCTGTTCAATTTCATTTTTTGAAAAACCTGTTTTCCTTTGAAAATGACTCTAGAGAAATAAAAATTCTTTCTTTTGAATTTAATTTTTGGGTTGCTTAACACACTTGAACACTCTATTATCATACCTTTAAAGAGCACAAGAGGAAGAATTAAAGCACTACCCCACTCCACCCTACTGAACAAGATTTGACAGGATCAGCACAAGTTAATCGTCTCTCTTGCCATAAATGCCTACCAATGTTCTCTTATATAACAAAATTTTTATAACAAAGTCCTGACTTGGTAATAAGTTGGAATAACAAGTTTATAGAAATGAACATGTTCATTCAAAACCGACCACTCAACCTTTAGCAGCAGCACAGCAGGACCCTTCCATCCTATTGAACATACTGTTTACCACAGCCAGAGACTAGAGACGAGATTTGGTAGCAAAGAAACTAAAGCAAGGAAGAATAACCAATAGATGAGTAAGGAACCAACATAGTGCCTAGTGGAAATTAATGCAAAATGGAACTCATTTGTCATGAAACATGAGGGCAACACACAAAAGAAGGCAGATTAAAATTACTGTTGAAGCAAGGGAGCTCATGTTTAATGCTACTACATTTATGAGTTCAGCCAAAACATAACTGGATCAAGACAACAAAATAAAGTAGTAGATTGATGTCAACAGCAAATGTCCCTTGACTAGTCAAAGAAAAATCACCACTAAAGAGAGAGATAATCAGATCATCTCCAACTCCATTTCTATATGATATTATGTAAGAAGAAGAGAGTACTATATGACATAATATAGTTTAGATGTTGCAGAGAGTGAAACAAAATAAGTAGTAGGCCTACTTCAAGGCAAGGAGAACCGGAAGAAGGACCACCAATTACCTAATACACAGTTACTTGATGCTCCTCTTTGATGCACGTGTTTAGCCACAATGAGCATGAGGAAAGTTGTTGCCAGAAACTGCAGCACTGTAGTAAGCATTAAAAAACGAGTCCACAAAAGCCATCTCTTATACCTGATCTGTTTCATCAAGAAAAACAATATAACTTCATTCTATTGTAGGACAGTGCCACAGTGGTCCTGGGGAGTGAATTTTGAGGAAAATTTTACACAGTGAAAACATGACTCATGACCTCTTAAATTCATATAATTCAGAATTGATATATTATTGGGCATTGATATATGCTCTCTATCAGGTTAATAGGGGTTTTATTAGTCAAAGATTACAAGTTTCCAAAGACATGATTCAAATTGTATTAGAATTAAGAGTCCATATACAATTATGTAATTCTTCCAATTCAATAAATAACTAGTTTTAAAAAGATTCTCCATCAATTACTCTTTGAAAATTATGTACACGATTCTAGCGTAGGTGTGATGCATAAGGAGAGATTCCTAGACTCTTCTCTTTCTTCTTCTTCTCCTCCTAAATCTCAACTCTTTATTACCGATAACCAGAACCTTCTTTAATATCTAATTTCATAAACTTAGAACGATCCACAAAACCTTGCCACATTTGTACACCCATACAAAACCCCATCTCTCCGTAAGTGACAAAAAATTGAAATCCCAATTTTTAAGTGACACAACCAGGACCCCAAACATCTGAATCAACTGACATAAAAGGACTCCACTTACGTTTATTGCCCAGGAAGCAAAAGGAATATCATGATGATGCTTTCCCAATTGATATGACTCACAATCTAAAACCAAAAGCAAGAATATTCTAGGCAAGTCACTAGAATGCCAAATAAATATAAGTTATATAAACTGCCATATTGATCCAACTTCCAAGCTTACCACGACCCACAAATTGAAATCTCAAATATTGCAAATATAACTTATATAAACTACTAAAGTGCAAAAATGATAAAAACCCACCAAATTGGGGCTCCATTATTCACAAGGGAAACCCTAGCCAACAAAATTGATAGCAATTCATACACATACATACATACGTACATACATTTGAGTCAATTGATATGAAAAAACCAAAGAACCAAAAAAAAAAAAAAAAAAAGCAAATTGATACCCGTCTCTCATGGCGTATAACGGCGTCGAGTACGGCGCTCTGGGAGGGACGATTGAGGATCATCGTGGCGGTGGCTTGTTGAGCAATGCCGGTACGGATCATGATGAAGATTTTAATGCAACAACCCAACAAAATCACAACAAAAGGAAGAATATCTTTGTGGCCACAATCTGGGTACACGAGTTTGATCAAAATGGCACCGATAAGGATCACGACTACGTTCGAGAGGCCCGTGATCACGGCGCAGCATCTGAGGTTCTTGAAGGTTGAGACCCACATGGCCATGGTGATGATTCAGAAGAAAATTCAATTTTAGTCAAATTAGTGAGGAATGGAATGGAATGGGATGTGTGGATGGAAATTGGGGGAATGGGATGCCATGGCAGCCGTTTCCTGGTTGAAAGGTGGCAGCAGCTCATCCTTTTTGCGTGTAATTTGGATCATTTGCATTTAGCTCCCTTCAAGGTTTCACAATTTTTTGAGTTATTTTTTCAAAAAGTGATTTGAAAATTATATTTTGAAAATGGGTATCTGTTTGGTTTTCAAAAAAAAAAATTCACTATTGCAAATTCAAATTTCTTCTCATAGATGGAGAGACAATTACAAAAATAAATAAATAAATAAAATAGCACATCAAAAGTACTCCTACGGAATTTTATGTACCCTTCTGTCTCAAAATAATAGTTTCTTTTAAGAAATTTAATTTTTTTTAGTAGTACAATTATTACATTTAAAAAAAGTTAATTTTTCAAAATTACCTTTTTATAGTACATTTTTTTAGAATATCAATGTCATAATTGTACTTTTTATATTGTTTATTAATTTAAAAGAATGGCAAAATAGAAATTTTATATTATTTTTGTACTTGATTTTTGAAGAATGACTAATATTTTGGGACAATGAAAAATAGAATAAGGGACTAATATTTTGGAACGGATGGAGTATATATTTTACATGCTAGGTTTCACTTTTTTGAGTTATTTTTGAAAATGAATGTATGTTTGGTTTTAATTTTTTGAAAATTAAATTTTTTATTTTTCGTATTTTTTGTTTTTAGTAAATATTTTTTAAATTTTAAACAATTTTTTACTTTTTTTTTAAATGCATCTTACTTAGAGCATCTCCAAAGGAATAGTTAAACAAGTCTTCTTAGGTATTTTAGCCAATGTAAGTCTAATTTTGAGTTCCAATGGATTAGCTATTGGGTAGCTACTTTACCATCCTATTTTTTTGGTGGCTACAATTGAAGAGCCCTAGAGGCTCTCCAAACAATTATGTATGTATATATTTTAGATTTTTGTATATTTACGTCTTGGATTTGGGATTTTATATAATTTTATATATTCTTTCAATTCTGTTTGATGAATTATAGAATAACTTATTTTGTATTTTGTATTTTTTTTCTCCTCATTCTACAAGTTTTGTATGTTTGTATATTATTACAAATTTATATTAGTAAAATATCAACAATTAATATTTTTTTATTTTAAAAATTAATTAAGTTAGTTTAAATGATTAGCTAAAATAAAAAGTATGGTTGGAGAACACAATAGCTAAAGTACTTAGGTAAAATAAAAAGTGTACTTTTTTTATACTTTAACTAGTGAAAAGTAGAGAGTGTGGTTGGAGTTGCTCTTAGATGTATCAAAATAGTAAACTATTTGTAAAAAAAATATTTTAAAAAATTAATAAATATACAAAAATACAAAAAAATGTATTGAATTTATATATATATATATATATATTTTTGATATTTAGAGAATTTTTTAAATATTTTTTCACAAATATTATATTTTTTATGGTAGGTGTGTCTAAAAATTAAAAAAAATATTTAAAATATGAAGAAAAAAATCTGTGAAAACAAAAAATACAAAAAAAGAAATTTTTTTTTTGAAAAGAATTCAGCGAAAATAAAAAAATACGAAAAATAAAAAAGTAAAAAATAAAATTTTCTAAAAGGGAATTCTGTAAATAGAAACCGAATAGATATAATATTTTGTTTTCAAAAAAATTCACTATTCCCTCCATAGGTGGAGAGACAATTAAAAAAAAAAATTATCACATCAAAAAGTATTCTCACGAAATTTTGAAAACTTCTCTAGTTTTCTGTGAATAACTAAATAAAAACTCCAAAATTTTCAAAAACCTGAGTCTAAAAAACAAGGAACCAAATAAAGTGAATAATTTGCAATTTTTTAATTCAATTTTATAAAAAAAAATTCATTTTTTTGTTTTTAATAAAATTTTTTTTAATATATTTTGTGTTTTTAGTATTTAGTGAAATTTTTTTAATAAAAAATTACAAATATTATAATTTTTAATTATATTTATATTAACAAAGTGTTTGGTTGGGGAATTTAGGAAAAGATTTGGAAAGAGAAAAGGAAAAGGTGTATGAAACTAAGTGAAATGTAAATTATTTTATTCACATTTTACGCATTTTTTCTTTTTATTTCTAAATTCCTTTCCAAATCTCCTAATCAAATACAGCGTAAGTGTATCTAAAAATTTTAAAATATATATTTAAAATATTAAAAGAATTCAATAAAAATAAAAATAAAAACTCAATTCTTAAAGAATTAAATTCAAAAAATTAGAATCAAACAAAATGAATATGGCAAAGTTGCACAATGATCCATTTTAAGGTTTAATTCGCCTATCATTTTGTTAAAGTATTAGTTACTCATATGAAAATAAATAAATAATTTATGGTGTCATATTTAAGTTGTAATGCGTATTTTACCCTTTGACTTGGGACTATTTTATAAACATAACTTAAAAGTCAAAAGTCACCTTTTAATTTATTTTAAATCACATCATTTCACACATAAAATAGTGATAAAAGTTTAAGAAATCAAAAAAATAATTTTTAACCATATTTTTAAAATATCCTTATTGTACCTAATAATTTCGGCCAATTCTTCCACTCGAGGTTTTGATTGGATTGATTTGCGGGCTATTTCAGCCATATTGCTGATAAACTCAACCTCTATATATACCATGGAATACAATAATTTTTTTTATTTTTTATTTTTATTTTTTTTTAGTTTTTATTTTTTTACTAATTTTACAAGTCCCATTTCTCATGTGCTCATTATTGAAATTGTATCCATTTTAAAATTGTGAAATTTCACAGTTTTAGAAACAATGAATGCGAACTGTCTTGGTTTTCAAGATAAAATTTCAGTTTTGAACATAAAAAAAACTGTGAAATTTTAATTTGGAAAATAATTTTCAAAGTGTGAAATTTCATAATAATAGAAATTAAAATTGTAAATTTTTTTAGATTGAAAAATTAAAACTGTAAAATTTCATAGTTTGGAAAAGTAAAATCCCATAGTTCTAATTTTTTTGACTAGTATAGATTATTTTTAATTAAACAAATAAAAATTTAAAAAAAAAAAAAAAAAAGGTACATGTACAATGAAATTTATGAGATTTTAAAGTTTGAAACATAAAAAGTAAATAAATAAATAAACAGTTTGCCACGTCAGATTGCCTATGGTGCGCATATCACATTTTCAACAAATGACCATACAAAAATAGAGGCAAAACAGTCCAAAAAAATTGTTAGAATTTTTAAAATGGGACTTAAGCTTCCAAACTTTATTTATTTATTTATTTATTTTGATAAATAAGTATGTAGACTTTATTGAGAAAGTATCAAGATGATTACAAGAACTCCAAAGGAGACAAAACACACCCTCTAACATATAACCTCATCCAAAAACTCTAAGAAACCAAACATATCCAGATCAGTTTTTATCTCTAACCAACTATACAAAACAATCAGAAGACAACTCCCAAGCCAACTAACACTGCGATGAATCTCTTGAAATGTGCACCTATTGCGTTCCAACCAAACTAGCCACATCAAACAAAAAAAGACCAAATACCACACACGCCACCGTCAACGACCAGATTTTAGATGCAGTCTTGGTGGCTAATGAGTGTGTGGATTCTCGGATTAGGCAAGAGCAATTTGGTGTTATTTGTAAGTTGGACATAGAGAAGGCCTACGACAATGTGCGGTGAGAGTTTCTCTTGTTTGTTTTGGATCGTATGGGTTTTGGGAAAACTGAGTGTCGCTAGATTCAGTTCTGTATTTCTACTGTGCAGCTGTCAATTATGATTAACGGTACTCCAGTGGGGTTCTTTCAGACGTATCGAGGTCTTCGTCAGGGAGACCCTCTGTCGCCACTTTTGTTTATTTTAGTGATGGAAGCATTGAACAAATTGTTGGAAAGAGCAGGTCATGAAGGTTTGCTGGAAGGTTTTGTGGTGGAGTCTCCCACAAGAGCATCTATGAGTGTTTCCCATTTGTTGTATGTAGATGATGCGCTAATCTTCTGTGGGGCGGTGGCAGAACAGTTGGGTTACTTGAGGTGTGTTTTGTTGTGTTTCGAGGCTGTCTTAGGCCTTCGGGGTGAATTTGAGGAAGTGTAAGCTGATTCCAGTAAGGTGGACGACTTGCCAGTGCTAGCGGCAGTGTTGGGTTGTAAGGTGTCCATTTTGCCGGTGACTTATTTGGGTTTGCCATTGGGGGCGTCGTTTAAGGCTAAAGAGGTATGGGACATGTTGTGGAGTGGATTCAACGACGGTTGGCAGATTGGAAGAGGCAATAACTTTCGAAAGGGAAAAGGTTGACTTTGATCAAGAGTGTATTGAGCAATATCCCGACATACTTTATGCCTGTGCATGTTATTCCGACGTCTATGGCACGACGGATTGAGAAGTTACAAAGAGATTTCCTGTGAGGTAGTAGGGGTGATGATTATAGTTATCACCTGGTGGATTGGAGGCGAATTTGTCAATCGAAAGTGGTAGGGGGTTTGGAGATAAGGAGTTTGGTGACTTTTAATAGAGCGTTGTTGGGGAATGGCTATGGCACTTTGCTTGGGAGATGGAGTGATTGTGGAGAAAGGTGGTGGCTTTTAAGTATGGGGTAGCTCAGGGGGAATGGAGGTCAGGGTCAGTGATGGGTTCTCATTGTTGTGGATTATGGAAAGGGTTTTGATTGGGGAGAAGGGAGTTTATTGGGTCTGTTGTTCAAAGGACATGATGAGGAAGCCTTACGTTTGTTTTCAGCAGTGGAGGCGTCGTGGCGAAAAGGGTCTCCTAGTAAAGAAGTGGTTATAGTGGCAGATACTAGTTGTAAAAGGAAACGGGAGTTAAGGAACTTAGTGAGTTCCATCAATTATGAACATGGTGGAGCAAGGGTTGATCGTGATTCACGGAGACGTCGGAGGGATCCTTTGTTGTTGAAATGTAGTTAAAAATTTTGTCCTAGAATGTTCGGGGATTGAAGGGTAGTAGTGAAGGTCGTCTTGCGAAGTACGAAAGCTGATGTGGTGTGCTTGCAGGAGACAAAGATGGAGGTGTTGGGGATAGAAGTGGTGCGTGCAATTTGGAGAAGCAGATTTGTAGAATGGCGACATTTGCCGACAGTGGACAGGGCGGGTGGTGTACTGATCTATTGGGATTCGAGGGTGTTGTGAAGGAAGAGGAGGAATTAGGCTGCTTTTCAGTGTCTTCTCTGTTTCAGTGTGTGGCGGATCAATTCCATTGGGTGTTCACAGGAGTGTATGGCCCGGTGCGGAACGGGGATCGAGGGGAGTTTTTCTCAGAGTTAGAGGCTATGGCATTTCGTTGGTCAGTGCCTTGGTGTGTGGGATATTAGAAGTTAACAGAAAAATCATGAGACTAAAGTTCATGCTGTGAAACTTCCCACTAATTTACCCATGATTATTTCCTTCCATTGAATATTTAGATAGACATAACATGTAGCACAACAACAATAGATGTTATTACATTCATTCAGTAAACATGAGATTGTCAAATGCAAAATGAAATGTAGCACACAAAGAGATGGCATTGCATGAGTTATCAGATCAACTAAACTACTATTTACACTAGTTAGTGTTCCCAAACATGAATCTGATAAGAAGGTTGAACATCAAAAACATCATATGATCCCAATTCTGGGTATTAACAACTACTTCCACTGTCAACCCAAACAATGTATAAAATCATGAGAACAAGTATGCATGCTTTCACTACTTTCTATTTTAATTCTTCGTCATCATAAACTGTGCAACCGGATAAAAGCAGGGGATGATCAGCATATTACCATCCCAATATTTGATTCAGCCCAAAATATTACTACGATCAACCAAAGCTAGCTCCTCATACGATCAAGAAGCTGAAATTGTAAAACATCATCAGTTATAGATTGGCACAACAATTGTGACATTAAATTTAAAACGCTCAACTTGTTATAGATGTATATTGTAACCATCACCTAGGTGAGGTAACATGAAGTCCCTAAATTAATGGAAAATTGGACATTTGGAAAATGTAACCCATGAAGCATTTCCTTTACAAGAAATTTTCATCAAAATATAGCTAACCAGAACAAAATGCAGAAAATCATCATACCTTTGCTACAATTCTTTCAAAAGAAACTAATTTAAAAGCTTGAAGATGTAGCTGGTGGCAACAAATTCATATTTCCAACCATTTATTTATTTAACAAGTTAATTTCCCCAGTAAAAGTTTTCCTCCATCCATAATTTTTTTTTTTTTTTAAATTTAAAAATATACAAGTATATCAAGTTTTGGCAGGTCTCTGGTACATAGGTGTCCTAATCAGAGGAATCTAAACTCATATCAAACATATCTACTATTTTAGTAACAATGGAAATGGAGGCAAGGCTAATCTTTATTCATGTAGCTTTAGATGTGTAATATTTTGCTTAGTGCTTCAAGGAGACATCTGTTTATGCCATTACTCCCCTCTCTAAACAAGATTTTATTTCCCCTTGAGAAATATACAATTAAACTAACTTGGTCATAATATTGTACATACAATATATATGACGTAATAGAAGGAGACTTCTGTCAAAACAAAAATAGCCCAAGGGGTGGCAAGTATAAACATGACATAAACATAGAAATAGCTAATGCAGAACTCACCAGAACAGGATATTGTAGAATCCATCCAAGAACTGGAATCTGAAAGAGACAGGCCTTGACAGATGGCCAAAAACCACTACATGAACATGTAAAAATATTAGACGTCTAGGAACATAACAAGGGCTAAAAAACCAAGTCCCCCTCAACTATTAGTGAATATCACCTCACCCCTCATATATGAACATGTACATATTGACCCCCACAGCTATAAACTGAACAAATACCCCCCGGCCGCCCCCTTTCTCTCGAAGGTGGTCGAAGGGAATGAAAGTGATACATTTTTATAGTTTTAAGGGGTCAAAATATATGGGTTCATAGATGCAGGGGGGTAAGTTGATATTCGCTAATAGTTGAAGAAGTCTTGGTGTAATTAACCTCACATAATAATACACAGAAGAAATCATCATGTTAGGAGTTAAGACTAATACTAACCCAAAGAGAACTATACAGCCATATATCTCCAAGATTATACCAACTATTGGCCAACGAACAAATATGAAGAAGAGCCCAAGAAGAAATGACACAGAACCCTGACAGTGAAACGAAGAAAACTAAGATATATTTATCTCCATTTCAATAGCATGTGATTTTAATTCAACTTTCAGATAAGCATTAACGTCAGGCTCAGCAAGTTCTAGTGTCTTTATTTAATTTTTTCTGCCAACATATTTTAACAAATAAATAGTTGATCAAGAGAAAAGACAATATTAGGCGGGAAATATATATTTATCACATTCTGGATAAGGCATTGGTTAACTAAAACAAAAGCTGGTCAATCAAAAATGGGAAAATATTGCTGATTTCAGACCCACTGGTGATGAGAATCTCAAAATGGTAATAGCTAGCATAAAAACGAACCATATAAGCCACTGTCCAGCTTTCCCAGCCTCTAGGTGGGTAGAAAGAAAATAATTAAAAAAACATATCATTTCAAAGAAAATTGGAAACAAGGATCGAAATTTCATTTCAATGCATGGTCTGGTAAGCTTGGAGACAGAAATATTATGGAAACATAAGAGAAACCACAAATCTTTTTTTTTTTTTTAAAACCTATGGAAATGTCTGAAAACATAAACTAAACTCTATATAAATGTTTATACAAACTCAATAATTAAATAATTGACAACCCACCGGTGATGAGAATCTCAAAATGGTAATAGCTAGCATAAAAACAAACCATATAAGCCACTGTCCAGTTTTCCCAGCCTCTAGGTGGGTAGAAAGAAAATAATTAAAAAAACACATCATTTCAAAGAAAATTGGAAACAAGGATCGAAATTTCATTTCAATGCATGGTCTGGTAAGCTTGGAGACAGAAATATTATGGAAACATAAGAGAAACGACAAATATATTTTTTTTTTTTAAACCTATGGAAATGTCTGAAAACATAAACTAAACTCTATATAAATGTTTATACAAACTCAATAATTAAATAATTGACATATTTGAGGTCTACACCTAAGCCACCAATTCAGCAAACGAAAGCGGGAGAGAGGGAGAGGGAGTGAGAGCGTCAACTTTCAAAATTTATGAAATCGAGAGCATATATTATTATATAACTTTTATCATCGATATTTATATAATCTGTATTTTTTTTTTAAGAATTTCAAAATTATTATCCCTAATGGACAAGGAAAGTTACTTGTGTATCTTATTCTTATTAGTTAAATTAAAATAATAAAATAAATCAAGATGCCGTAGCTTATTCTTACAATGGTGTAAAATTTTAAACACATGCATCAACTAATATTTTATGAAATCCACAAATTTGCTCCAATTCGTCAATCCATGAACCAAAAGCATTGTCCTCCACTCTAAGGTGGAAGATTAGGTCACTTGGGTCTACACATCTCTTTACATAAAGGGCACAAATAAGTAATTTGGAAGTAAAGTTATTGTTAACCAAGAATTGTTTAATTAATGTCAAACAAATCAGTCTGATCAAGCACAAGTGTATAACAATAATAAAAATGATAATGATATTTATAGTAAAGAAAAGTCAAAGGGTTCCCAAGGTGTGGATGGTCCATAGTGCAAACATCCCTCTAAAAAGATTAAGGTTCAATAAAGGTCAATTAATATTAGAAACTCATAAAAAAAAAACAAAAAGGGCTTAAATGGTTAGTTGGGAATACAGTTCATAAGAAATGTCAGATTATAGTAGTAGGGATGAAAAAAGAAAAGAAAATAAAGTAGCCGTGATAATATTTCTGAAAAAAAAAAAAAAGAGTGCCTATAGTAACAAAGAAATAAAATAAATGACTTAACCATGTCCATTTACATTTGTCCTCCTATACTTTCTAGTTTCTCTGATTTTCTAATAAAGTTAAGAATTTTCTTTGACTGAAATTTTCTTTTAACCAAACAAGGTAAATATAAATTAATAGCTCTTGTTAGATATCCCAAATAGGTATTGAAACAACTCATTGTTCCAAGATGTTTCGTAGTGTTTTCACGAGTTTCGGTGCATTTCGGTGAAAGCATTGCAATTTCAGTTTTCCTTTAATGATTCATATGAGTTTCTTGGGAAACAGAAACATTTCAGTTATTTCAATGGAAATGAAACAAAAATGTTCTTGCTTGAAAGCAATATTTTCAAACATCCAATCTGCAACCACGAGATTCTTTGAAAGAATGAACTGTCTTATTAGCATCCCTTTTCTGCTATAAATTAATACCTTGTAGTTTGATCTACTAGTGAATAGCTGTAATGTAGAACGCCAACCTAGTAGAAGGGCCACTCCTGCCAACCAAAATATCTGATGACGAGCAAAAAATATTAGAAAGTTACGGCTGTTCATGGTATAAATCAAGCCTGAAAATCTCCATTATAAAAAAGACTTACATTTCCCAAAGCAAGCAAACCCCTATCGAAGAAAAGAATTATCCCAAGAATTGAAAAAAAGATGCCAAAACCAATGAGACCTAAACCAACCTCTGCAAGATCGAATACAATTTTTGATATTACAAGCCAAATATAACTTTGACAGACCCGCAAAAAAAAAGTGTAAATAGTTAATAACACATCAATATATGACATAAGTTTGTGGCGTCTCTAAGCAAATTGTAAGTAAAGGAATATTGTGCAGTAATATAATCAGGATAGCTCATCAACAGAAAACACAAGCACTGAAACTATCTTTCTTCTATCTCATTTAACCTGTGTTTGTTACCACAAGGGGAAAGGAAAGAAAACTTGAAGTGGATAATTTTTAAATGACAAGCATGCCCTTTATTAGGACAGTCTTGAAAGAAAATCATAGAGCTCTTTCTTTATGAGGCAAACTCAAGCAAAGAAACGACACAAATGAAACATTTTAAGAAATGCAATAATCCATTTGTGCTAGTTCTTGTTCTTGTGCTTGTACATGCACACAACAATAATGGTGCTTACTCTTTTGCTCATCTATCTCATAGGCCATCTTGTTGCCAACAGAAGAACTCCCTTGGTGTTATCCCCAAAAAAAATCACCTTCCAAATTGAAGTGCAATAATTAATCAGTGCTATTTAACAACATTTGAACAATACACAAAAAAATAAAGAAAAATAAACTCAAAGCGGTTTAAAAGATACACATATAGAATTGTCAAAGATGCTAACCTAAATGAGAAGAACATCTAACAAAACAAAAGAAGCATTACATGTGCATTTGTAAGTTCATAACCTATGTTGCATGGACTCATGTACGAGAATCGGATGTGAGTATGTGGCCAAGCATCAAATCTTCATAATCCTAAATCTTAGGATATTGGGATAAGTATCCAAAAGTTGGGTTGGGTATGAGTATGGAGATGCGTCATGGACACATATATATTAGATATTGTATAATATTTTTGTTTAAAATATTAAAAATTATATAGAAATATAAATTTTTTATCTTTCATCCATGTGAGAAGCTAGAAATGTTTTGTTACTAACAAATGTGAGAGGCTAGACACTTGTATATATTGCATATTGTATAATATTCTAATGTAAGATGCGATAATTTATATAGAAATATATTTGAATTAGGAAAAATATGAAATTTTTATCTCTCATCCATGTGAGAGGCTAGAATGTTTTGTTACTAACAAGTAGGGTTTTTTTTCTTCCTCAAACATCATAAAAAATTAGAGGATCCGAGTATTTAAATTGAGTACAGGTGTCGGACACATTCCACACCCTTACTTTTGTCATATCCGACAAACACAACTACTTTGGGGGGAAATAGAAAAGTCCATGTAAAACAGTTCATAACTTATAAAATAAGTCGACAATTTACATGACCAAACGGCATAAGTATATGGAGATCATTGTCGCATAACAAAAACATAAATGTAAGTGATTAAAGAAAGATTTTGTGTGTCCAATAACGGATTCCATATGGTAAATACTTAATAAATGAGAAGTAATAACTTAACTAACTAAATGACACAATATGTGGATATCACAGTTTTATACAAAATTCATACACAGTAACCACAATAATAACACCCTAGAATCCATGCAACCAATGCATTCGAGGATACATCCTAAAATATGGTACACTTTCATGTAGAACAGTACATCTATCGATTTTGTAACTTTTTCGCCCATTTTGTTCTTTTAAGCAAAAAGATAACTGATTTCATAATGAATTGCAATCTATAACTATTTCTTTAAGTTTTGAAGGAATATATTGATGAAAGAGTTGTGGCACACCAAACACCAGATCGATTTCATAAGGATCGCTCTGTTCTGCTGAATTGGCAATCAATAGCATTCATTGGTTTAGTTCAAGTAAAACACGTTTGTTAACCCAAGGGGTTGTGACACTTTGGCAAGGCTTTGGGGGATAAGTCCTGAGGTCTCAGGTTCTACACTCTCCATGGCCAACTCCTAGGGGTTTGGTGTAGTAGTCTTAAGACGGTCCTTTAAATGCTGGATGAATTGTATCCAAGGTTTAGGTGTGGGGTTGAATCCTGGTAGTTGCACTCCCTAACTTAAATAGTGTGTGCGTTGTGGAGTCAATTCACACACCTGAGGTTTGCCCCTCGTCCTACTCCGGCTAAACCAACATTAGATAGTTGATTCCGAAGTCGGTGGATGACAAGTTTGGGAAGTTTACTCCTAAACCACAAAAAAAGAAAAAGAAAAAAACGTTTGCCAAAGAAGGGTTTTGTGTAGATTTCAAATTCTTTTTCCGAAAAACCCAATTGTGTGTTTCATTTCATCCAGAGTGAAATGTAGTACTTTTAAATATAAAAAAAATATTAGAGCTGTGTCTGTAAAACTTTGTATAACACCCAACATTATAAAGTTTAAAACATTAAAATATAGTTCAATGACATTTACACTAACAGAAAGAGTTAGCCCTTAAAAATTCCACTAGAAACCACAATAAATCACACATTGAAACTTACCCAGTTTGCAAATTCTCTTTCTTCTAGCTAGAAAAAAGACTATTCTTTCACACAGGCCCTTCTAACCATCCACCAGATACGGTATTTGCAATTCCAGGTACATAATTTCCAATTAGGAAGATAAGTAATCGTTCAAGTAGATTAATTGAGGATTATTTTGTGTTCATCAAAGACTATTGGGGCAAAAACAATTTCAAAGTATAAAAAGCAAGCAAATTGATAAACGGAGAAAGAGAGACAAGTACCAATATTTGACGATCAATAGCTGACAGCGATTTGAGTTTCCTGAGCAGCTTAGATCGAATTTATGTCATATGGTTAGCGTAACGCCGACTTTGAGAGCGAACCAGAGCAAAAAAGAGAGAATGGATCTACACTTTTGGTATCGGCTTCGTTTCCCAAAAATAAAAAATAAAAATAAAAAAATTCTCCGTTTGGTTTGAATAAATTTTTCAAAATTTATAATCAAATACACAATATAAAATTACTAAAAATTTAATTTAAAAATTAATTTCAAAACTTATAACTAAACACAAAATTTAAAATTCAAATTTTTTTTAATGGTATAATGTTAAAAATAATTATTGATGAGATTATTAAATTATTTTTAAAAAAATCTTAAAAAAATAATCTCTATATTTAAAAAATATCTAAACACAAATATAAACTTTTTTTTTTTTCCCTTTCAAATAACAGGTTGCAATCGTAGCAAAAACAATTAAAAATTAAAATTGCACTGTTCCGGTCAACCGATTGGATATTCTTTTTTTGATTCAAAACCAACTGGATGTTCGGGCGAACGATGGATAAATCCAATCCGCTCTTTTCAAAATTAAAAATTCAAAAAAAATTTCAAAATTCATAACCAAACAAATTTTTAATTACTCAAAATTTCACACTCAAATTACAACTTCAAAAAGATAATCACAATTTCAAAACTAAACCAAACGCAGCCCTCTACTCTTTTCCACAATTTTTTTTTATTTTATCAATTAATATCTAATTTTTTTGATTTGTTTCAGTCTAAATTATTTGTATGTTTTGTTACGTATAGGGCCGCAAACGAACCGAGTCGAGTCGAGTCGAGTTTTGCTGAGCTCGAGGTCGACTTGTTTACTTATCGAGCTCGTTTATTGAGCTTGAGTTTGGCTCGATAAGAAACTAGGCTCGAGCTCGGCTTGGCTCGTAAACATTAATGAAACTCGAGTTCGGTTCGCCTCAGTTCAACACAATAATGATTTTAATATTATTTATATTATTTAAATAAAAAATATTATTTATATTATTTAATATATAAATAATATATTTATTATATAATTTAAATAAAGATAAACGAGCCGAGCTTATGCGAGCTTGAGCTCGGCTTGTTTACTAAACGAGTCTAATATTCGAGCTCGAACTCAACTATTTTACTAAACGAACCGAATTAAGCCATTAAAGAGTCGAGCCGAACTTATTCATGAATATCTTGGTTCATTTGTAGCCCTAGTTACGTATAATCGATGAAAAAATAATATTTTATCAATTAAACGCAACACAAATAGTTAGATTAAAAATAAATCAAAAAAATTAGAGATTTTAAAAAATATTTATATACATTATGACTGATAAAATTGAAAATTGAAAATTTATTTTGTTATAAGAATCCAACTTAAAAAAAAAAAAATCAATAATTTATCCAACAACAAATTTTACTATTAGTTCATATGATTAAAATTAAGGGATACTTACGTGTAAGTCTTAATAAGTAAACTTATTGTCTAATAGGTTCTATGAGAAAAATTTGTCATTAAAAAACGTCACTAATTATAAATTTTTGCGACAATTTATAAAAATCATGACAAAAAAAAATCACCAATTGTCAATTTCTAGTGACATATATAAAAAAAATGTCACAAAAAAATTATTTTTAGCAATAATTTTATTAAAATTTATTTTCAATAAGACTTAATGGAAATTAAATCTAACTATTAAGACCTATCTGTAATTTATCCTTAAAATTTAAAGAAAGTTTCACTTTAATACCTCGATTTTATTTTAGGGTGAGAAATGGGCTGAAAAGCCTCAAATTGGGCCTAAAACTCGCTGAAATGCAGATAGTATGACTGATAAAAAAAAATAGAGCGTATCAATTGATATATTAATTAAGGATAAGTTATAAATATATCTTCTGATACTTAATTAAAATATAAATTACTTTTTGTAGTTTTAAAAATTATATTTCACCCCTGATATTTTTAATTTCATAACAAATCGTTTCTTTTATTAATAAATTGTCAAGTCAATTAATAGTTTTTAATGATGCTAGAAATATATTTCAATTAATAATTTAGGTAATTTTGTTATTGTATAGGAAAGTAATTATGAATTTCATTTTTTTCAGTTAATTTTGTTAAATAAAAAATTATGATAAGGAGATATTCGTAATTTTTCAAATCACATGGAGCAATCTGTATTTTAAGGAAACCTCAAGGGATGTATTTGTAATTTACCCATTAATTAATGTATGTGACATAGTTTTCAAAGTTTTGAATCTTTGCCTCCGTTTGGGAAGTGGGTTGGCTTTTTAGCTTTTTGGCTTTTTTGGCTTTTTTGGCTTGGGCTAAAAAGCTTGGTTTGGGAAGGGCTTTTTGACTTTTTGGCTTTTTTGACTTTTTTTGTGAGAGAAGAGTGTAATGATTATGGGTTGGATGTGATGTTTTGTTTGTTGGGGCTAAAATAGCCTATTTTGTCTTTTGTGGCTATTTTAGCCCCAACCTTGCTTGCCAAACGGACCCTTTATAATTTATATAATAGTTGATATGGGGACATAATTTTTGCGTGATAACACGTGGCTGAGGTGACACCGAAGTGTCAGCCGAGGTGCCACGTGTCTTGAACATGATGCCGAGGTGATCTCAGATAGGTCGAGATTATCTGCGAGAATGCCAAAATTCGGGATAAGCGGATAAGGGACAAGAGTCCTAAAATGAGAGAAGCCTTCAGTTTGGGTAAAGATAAGACTCTTAAAGAGTTTATCTCAATCCTACTAGAAGTCCAAGATTAGCAGTAATCCTAAGTCCACTAGAGATAGGCTTCCATTAAGACTAGGATTGTATTGGCTATAAAAGGGAGGCACCCACATAGGTCTAAGGTACGCAATTTATATTCTGAATAGTGAGTTAAGCATTTTTGTTATCTTTGAGAGATAACGGACTTGATCGTCGGAGTGCTCATAGGTGGACAAACCATTGCCGGAATCTCTTCTTTTTGTTGCAGATCGTTTGGGCTTAATCTATTCTGCCAGTGCCTTCAGCTGAGTACTAATTTGGCAGTGTGGTCGAAAATTGACACACACAATTTGGCGCCGTCTATGGGAAATAAAGGAGAATAGATAGCCAGTGACGGACAGATATAGAAGATTGGGGATGACACTCCTATTGGAAATGGGAAACCTGTTGACCTTGACGTCGAAGAAAACAACTGTAATGAAGAGACTCGTGATCAGAATCCAGGAAGGCGACGTACCAAAGAAAACGGACCAAAGCGGGTATTACAACGAGGACGACCTTCAGGTATAGAAGGACAGATGCCTACGGAGGGACGATGAGGTAAAGAGAATGGCGAACAAATTGGCGGACCTGCAAACGGTCGTCAATTTCATGATGCAGAACAACGTCATGCAACCACTATTCCCGTTACAAGATACACCGATTTCAGCAGCCAAGAAAGATGCCCGACAAGATGGGCAGAAAACAATCCCTACAGTCCCCAAGCACACCAGGAGCGAAAAACACTCTCACCGACCTTCAAGGGAGGTCGGGCGAGAAAAGTCGAGAAAGGAAGAATCTCGAAGGACACATCGCACCAAGGAAGCAGACCTCAAAGAATGTCGGCATGTTCAAAGGCAGGAGTTGTGCTTCGATGCAACTAATAGAGAAAGGTCGAAGAGGGCTCACAACGAAACTGAGAGTAGTGCACCTAAAAGGCTGAAATCAGGAGAGAGCCGAGCTCCTGGTCGGACTAAGGAGGACCTAAGGGATTACCTACAGAGGAGGCAACAAGATGCCGAGGGAACCTCTCCGGTCAAACCGAGAATGCCATTCTCGGTAGAATTAGACAAATTCGAAGCCCCGAAGAGGTTTAGCATGCCGAGATTCCAGATCTACGATGGGAAGTCGGACCCCAACTTTCACGTCAGTTTGTACCTGAACTTGATGGCGTTGTACACCGGGAACGAGCCATTGCTTTGCAAGGTATTCCCCTCATCCTTCGGATAAATTGCATCAGACTGGTTTTCATAAGTTGCTGAAAGGAACTGTGAAAACCTGGGAAGGCCTGGCCGAGATGTTTGTTGTCAGGTTCAGGATGAACAAACTACAACCATTAAGGGTGGATGCCCTGATGGCTCCGAAAATTGGCGAGAACGAAAGCCTGAGGGCCTATACCAAAAGGTACTATGAGGTACTCAACCGGATACCAGAATGCAACCAAGAGGTGGCAGTCGTATCATTTAAGAATGCCCTATAAGATAATTGTCTGCTCCGAAAAACATTGGCAAAAACAATCCTAAAAAGTATGGAGGAATTAATGGCCAGAATAGAGAAGTATGCCAGGGCCGAGGATGATACTCTGGGAATAAAGGCGCCAAAACCAGAGAAAAAAAACGGCTCGCCGAAGTGAGGCCGAGGTGATGGTGGCTACAACAAACCAGAAATCGGATTAAGGGCTACTCAGGCAGTCACAACCGTATTCCGAATTCCGGTTTACAAAGTCTTGGAGAAAATCCGCAATCAGCCCTACTATAGAGCACCAGCAAGGGTACTAGGCGAGTTTATGGAAAGAAGCCTTGACAAGCACTGTGCTTACCATAATGAAGCTGGACATCTAACTCAGGGGTGCAGAGCCTTTAAGACACATCTAAAATACTTGGTAAGACAAGGCCATTTAATGGACATGGTAGATGAAGCCAGAACAAGGGAAGGGCAGGCAAGACTGCCCTAGGTACCAACATCACCACCCCCATCAGTATCATAACCACAGACAGGCGGACCTCGAGTGATCAATGTGATCCACTCAAAGGTAAATAAGAATGAGATAAGAGGGGAAAACCCAAAAGGTAAAACACCTGTAATATATATATTAGGTCGGGAAAAAGAAACCTAGGGTAGGCGAGAGCCAAGGACCAGTGGTGTCCTTTACTGAGGAAGACCTGAAGATGGTGCAGCATCCACACAATGATGCCTTGGTAATATCCCTCTAGATTGGAAAGTGCCAAGTAAAGCGCATATTAGTTGACCAGGGTAGCTCTTGTGACATCATGTATGTCACGCGTTAGAAGGAGCTTGGCCTTCACCAAGATGACTTGAAATAGTCCAACGGCCCAATGGTTGGGTTCAATGGAACGCCGACATGGCCCCTGGGAGCAACAAGC